TGCTTCAGTGTGGTCATCAATGTTCTAAGACATACTTTTCCTTGCCAATGAGAAGCCTCTTTTGAAGAGGCCACACTAAACAATTGATATTTCACTTTATCATATATTTTTTCAATTTCTTTGTTCATATATTTGTTATTCATGCTTATAATTATTATTAATCTTGGACTAAACATATATATTTATACTTTTTTCTCTCTTTGGACTTTTTTTAATTAGGCCTATGCTTTATTTGTGCTTAAAGCCCCAACAGACCTTAGAGTTCTTTTGTGCTTTTTGCTTTCGATAACACTGGTCACTCATTCTTTCATTATCTCTTTTCATCCTTTCTTTTCTCAACTTCTCGATGTAATCTTGCCCAGCTGCATTATCGGCAAGGATGACACTTAGATATCCAAGATAGAACTTTATTATATGGAATACTTTTTCCACTTAATGTATATGCAGTTAACAATAACATGTCTCATATAAGTCATATGCGACACCAGCATGTCATTGAATATTATGATATATGCCAAAATTAGTCTATCTTACCTCCATCAAAATTCTCTGCTTATGTTGTCCAAGAATTTCAGAAACAAAGACAGTTGTACTTGCGCTTATTGATATTGTCTCCTTATAACTTAATGTTTAATACCTTGTATCAGAGTTCGCCAAAAGATGAGAGTGATTTGCTCAAAGCAGTTAAGAATGTCCATGCAATGATCGACAAAGAGATCGAAGCTGGCACTAATCCTAATAACGTTTTTGTATGCGGATTTAGTCAAGGAGGTCTCTCTTTCACTCTCAGTTGCAAGTTTGTGCATTGCTAATTTAATAACGGAACTCACAAATTACACTTAAAATCTTAATTTTGTAGGTGCTTTGACGTTAGCAAGTGTTCTTCTTTACCCAAAAACTCTAGGAGGAGGTGCCGTGTTTAGCGGATGGGTCCCCTTTAACGCTTCTATATTAGAGCAACAAACTCCTGAAGCTAAAAAGGTAGTTGTCTGATACTAACTTCTATAATTTTCTAGAAGTTGTTTTTCAAAGTTTACATTTGTTATTCTTTTCCTTAAGTTGGTTGCTGTGACGGAATCTTCAGTCTGTACAAACAATTAAAACTTTCTTATTACTCCCGCCTTCCTAATTTAAACTCCGTGCACAGTCAAACTAAGACACTTGAATTGGGACAGAGGGAGTATGATCCCTGATCTGCTAATTGTTTCACTACTTAGGATGATATATGAACACTATGATAAATAAATTATCTATTATAAACTATTGTGACGTCAAATCTCACTAGGAGAAAAATACTAGGTGATATCTTTCCATTAGTTTAAGCTTGGTGGACATAGTTATCTGCTATCTGTGTTGGTGGGAGGTGGGAGGTAGCAGGTACCCGTGGAACTAGTCGAGGTGCCTCAATATGGCCTGAACACCACGGTTGTTAAAAAGAGAGAATTGTATGGTGGTGGTATTGTAAGACATGTTATTTCCAAAAGTTATTTTCTATTAACCAAGAAATCCCCGAGGGCTATCTGTTGCGTGATTCGAAACTCGGTGGATAATTTGTCTGCCCCTCTATCATTCTCCACTTAAATTCCAGGCATTTGTCTGTGGTAGGATATGAATCTGGACATGTTCCTCTTGCCGCTTGATTTGTGTTTCTTGATTAGTTTTCATGTCTTATAGTATCTAATATCAAAACTCTTTCGAGCAGACCCCTATTCTGTGGTCTCATGGTATGGCTGATAAGACCGTACTGTTTGAAGCCGGACAAGCAGGGCCGCCTTTCCTGGAACGAGCTGGTATGACTTGCGAATTCAAGGTAATCACTCGTGTCTCTCAAATCGTTCATCTTTACTTTGTTTTTTTCACAAACGTATCACCAATAAGCCATTGTTGTCTACCATATCCGTTAGGCTTACCCTCGTCTTGCTCATTCGATAAACAACGAGGAGTTGAAGCACTTGGAATCATGGATCAAGACTCGTCTTCAGAGCAACTCTTAAAGATCGAGTCGATATTCGATTCAAAATTCATTCTAGCAAACTCCTCCTGAATTCTCAAAACTTGTTGCTTAATTGTTTGTGTGGTGAACTTGCTTTATATATTACTACAAATGTGTAGCAAAGAGAGTTTGTGTTCTACTGTATTTTCTTTACTCAATTAACCACTATAATAGTTATGAAATATTGGACAAATAGTTGAAATGCTGTGAAATTTTTTGAAAAAAAAATTAAACTGTTGGATTATAGTTGGGATTAATGAGTTTTAACTTCTATCCATTGACATCCCGGTGCATTAAGCATCCTGCATTTACTTAGGGTCCGGGAAAGGTCGCACCCCAAAGGGTGTAATATAGGCAACATACTTTGATGCAAGCACTAGTGCCTCTTTCACAACTTTAATGTGTGAATTATAGATCACACGGAAATAATTTTACCCTTGTTTCAAGGTTGCCCTTCTTAACTTCGTTAATTATGTGTGTTTAACCAAACGTGACACTGAAAATTACAATGTAATTATGTTATAACGAACAAATATGTCAATGTAATTATTTGGCTGTTTAGTAATCATACCGCACTTCTAAACAGGCTCTAAAGAAACATATTCACTGTAATTTCACAAAACAAAATTTGAACGAAATAGAGTGTTTTGAAATATAAGAAATAATCGTAACACAATTTAAAAAGAAACTGTAAACATAGATAAGTCAAAATATGTGTACTATATTTTGAAAAATGATACTCATAATACTAAGTTTTTAGTAGCCATAATTACTAATTATGGCATATGATTGTATGTGAAGAAATAGTGGATTTGGCACCGAACATGAAAAAGAGAAAATCATTGCTTCACTTTTGAGTATAATAGAATGGATGGTACATCTCACCTCTTAATCAAAAATTTCACGTTTAAGCGCATGAATGAAAAAAGAAAATTCAAATAAATTTATTATATGTGAAAAGTTATTCTTATCATATAAGTTTTCAAATTAAGGAATTAAATTCGAAATTTCTAATTAAAAGTTGACATGTTTATAATTTTACTTGTATTCTACTTGTGATTGAATCTTATCAACAAAATTCTTCCAAAATTATATAAGTAATAACTCAAATTATTCATAGTACATCCAAAAGCTTTAGAATTTGCCAAAAAATAATAATGTAGTTTTTACTAAAAATAACCAAAGTCCTCCTCTTATTCCCCCCTTACTATAATGACACAACAATTACCATATATTTATTGATCCCTTTTTTCTATGTGGTTCAATTTTCTATCTAGTTTAATCTTTTTGCTTCAATTAACAATTTTTCCATTTCTAAATTGAGTATAAAAATTGAAGCAGATAAGTTTTTACAATTTTTTCTTGTAAATACTTATGTTTATATGCTACCAATTAGTATGTTAATCTTAATAATTAAAAATTAGGGTGAAAATATTTTTAATTTTAATTCTTTTTGGTGAATGCGCATTATGAAAGACACATATTTAGATATAAACATTCGATATGAACTGAGAATGTTTTGAAAACAGTTTATCTACTTTATAAAGGAAAAATAAGGCGTGTACATGTTATTTCTCTCTATACTCCATTTGTAGAATTACACTGAAAATGTTGTTTATTGTTATATAAACATTCGATCCAAATAAACTCTTACCAATTTTACATTGAATATATCATATTTCTTAAGAATGCATTCTGTCATAGATTTTTCCATCAGATTTTAAAACTTCATCTTCAAATATTTGTTTGGTCATAATATTGAATCAACTTTTATATTTTTCAAACTTTTTTTGTTGTAAAATTTAGCTCTTAGATTTCTTTTCTGGTAAAAATGCATCCCTTCATTGGGAAGTGAGAGAAAAGAGAGGTTAAATTCTGCAAAAAGAAGATTTGATCATTAGATTCTGTAACAAGTAGGGTCCAACCCAGAGCACTATTGACCAATCAAAATTAACCAAATAACCAATCAAAATTCTTTAAAATTGATGCCCTAAAACTCTTTAAAAAAAATAAAAAAATACTCCCCATAGGGTTACAAGTTGCAACCTGCCCCACCCAGATCACATACCCTACCACCCTAAAAAAAAACTCTTTGCTCTATTTTATAGTGAAACATTACCTAAGTGGCTATATAAATTAAAGGATAATGCTAAATGACCAGAAAATTTTGGTCAGAAATTTAAAAAATTATAATTTTTTTTTATTTTAAAATAAATTGATCTTTTTCAATCTTTAAGTTAAAATGTATTAAAGTTAAAAGGGTAAAAATGTTTAAAAAGGTAAAATAACATAGGTAAAATACCATTCTGGCCAAATTTTCTGGCCTTAAATACTAATATGCTACTCTCTCCATTTTAATGTAAATGATTTTAGTAAATTAGGTGCAAAATTTAACAAAATAATATTTTTTTAAAAGTTTATGATTTTAAATCTAAAATACATGTATTGATTTTTAATATTAGTCTCTTAAATATTTCACGTGAAATATTAAAATTACAAAATTGTTAAATTAGAGAAGAAGCATTCTTCCGAGAACAAACTAAAAAAAAAAAAAGACAAATAAACTGAACAGAATTAGAAGTTTGTTGACAAATTTATAACGAAAAAAGGGGTCAAAATTTCGTCTAATATATTGAAAATAACTAAAATTCGTCTTTATTTCATATATTTTTCGAAAAACATCTCTCTACTTGTAAAATTTATGTACACTCTAACCTCTTCAGACTCAATTTTGTGGAATTTTACTAAATATGTTATTGTTGTATTCTAAACGTTAGTTTTTTGAATATTAATATATATTGGTTTATCGATATATGGCTACAACTACTACTATATCTTATGTTTCATTTACTCGATTCCTATATTAAAAATAGATATTTCGTTTTACTTATTCATTTTAATAAATTAAAAAAGTTTTATCAACTTAATATCAAATAACTATATATTATATATATATATATATATATATATTAATTTTTTTTTACTAAGCCCCTCAAAAAATAATGTCATCAATTTCTATGCCCTATTTCCTCTTACCAAAAACTCTTCAAAGTCCCCACAAGCCACAAACCCTCATTCTCTCTTCTCTTCTTCTCTACACCACCCACCCTACCTAACATACCCCACCTTCAAAGCTCTCAAAAAAAAAATCCTCCATTTTTTTTTCCATTATCAAAAAACTATGAAGAAACTTTACAGAAAAGGCACAGTTCATCCATCTCCTCCTTTAATTTCTGACCAACTTTCATTCTTACCAGTTGCTATTCTCACTCTTGCTGCAGCTTTATCTCAAGAAGACAAAGAAGTCTTAGCTTATCTCATTTCTTGCTCTTCCGGTGACTTTTCCGGTAATCGGAGAACTACCCACAAGTCTAACACCTCAAACCCACCTCCTCCAACATCAAACCCTGTTTCCGGCGACTTTTCCGGCGAACTTTCCGGCGACTTTTCCGGTAATCGGAGGAATACCCACTTCAAGTCAGCTACACCCAACTCAGGTTCTGAAAAGTCCGGTGGTGGTACTGGTTCGAAAAGTTTTTCTGCCGCCGTACACGGCGGCGTTCATGGCGGTACTGACCATTTGAGCTCATTTAACTGCTATTGTTTCAGCTGCTATATGAGTTATTGGGTAAAATGGGATTCTTCACCAAATCGACAGCTTATTCATGAAATTCTTGATGCTTATGAAGATGGGTTGCAGAACAAAAAGGAAAAGAGTAAAAAAGAACGAAGAAACAAAAACGGTTCATCTCTGAAGCAAAACGGGTCGTCTTTGAAACAAAACGGGTCATCTAATGGTGATGTTGGGTCTTCTGCTGAGCTGAAAAAATCATCATCTGAGTTATCTTTGAACAAAAATGGGTCCGGGTCAGTGTCTGAATTCGGGTCGGGTCAGACTGACCCGGTTGAGGAAACTTCCGGCGCCGCCGGCGGTTATGAAGAAGAATCCGGTGGAGTTGAAAAGGGCTCTGTGAGAAAGTTTGTGAGTTTTCTTGGTGAAAGGATTTGGAGTGTTTGGACCTAAAAATAAAAAATAAAAAAATATTTTTTTGGAATTAATTTTCAAGAAAATATTTGAGGTTGGTTTATTTTTAATTTTTTTTCTATCTCCATTTCCACTTTAATCATCTCATAATAGTTCTTTTTTTGAATTTCTGGTCTGTAAAATACCCTTTTACTTCACAATGTAAAATATTGGGTAGTAATTTTGAATGATCACCTTCATTGGTTTTTTCTTATTTTTCACATTTTGTATATATCTTTGATGTTAAATGTTGCTTATGTAGTTATGGTGTAGTTTAGGTTAAAAAATAATGTAATTTTTAGTGAAGTAATTCCAAGAAATATTTAGGTTTATCTTTTTTGACCAAATGTAAAATACCATATAGTTGATAATGTGAAATATTAATAGATTGAATGAACATCTTCATTTCGGTTAATTTTAATTATGGTTAATGGTTTCTTGGATATTTATTGATTGTTGTATTAGCATTTCTAGTAATTATTTTGTAAATGGCAACTTTTACAATAGTTTAAACTTATTGATAAGTTTTATTTAGACATTTCTAATTAAGTCGTGGTCTTGTTGAGTGGTTGAACAAGAATTAAGCGTTGTTAGATATTTTTGGTCTAAATCATAAGATATATTGAGGTTATTATCTATAATTAAAAGAGTCAAGTGATTAACTTATTTACGTAATGGTACATAATAAAAAAAATCCAAAAAAAAAGATAAAATAGGGTTATAGGAAGGAAAAATGAGGAGTATAATTTAAAGAGTTAAAGTGGTTAACTTGTATTTTTGCAATAGACTTTTTGGGATATGGGAAAGAAAAATAGGGAGGAGATTGAATCGAACTCTCATCAATAAGGTGAAAATCTGTCTAGTTAATCAACAGGGCTTCTAAGATTTTCACATAATAATCACTTAAAAAACAAGTAAAAAGAGTTGTTTTTTTTTTTAAATGAACAAAAAGTATTTAATAAAAAGTTTTGCTATGTATTTAGATGCTTAATCGAAACAAATTATTAAAATCTTTTTGAATGAAATTTACATATGGATTTAAACCTTTATAATAATTTGTGCATTTAGAGAATTTTTAGGTCATCCATGGACGGTTTGAAATTAATAAAAAAAGGTGAACATATTTGAAATTTCTTTCTTGGATATAGAGAAAGGTGGAAACTTTTTCTTGTCCCAAAGAAAATAACAGTAATTTCTGTAAAATAATTTTTGTGCAATAATATTCAAAACTTTATACTATTTTTGTTTCTTTTTATATTTCATTTGGCTCGAGGAAACAAAGTACGATACTTTTTTAAAAATTTTGTCATGTTGCTAGGAATGACTCAGACACTCATGTTTCTAGTCCTTTTTGTGTGCCTTATTCATTTTTTTTAATAATGCACTAGTCAATTTTTTCTAATTTTCGGTGGCTAGAGTTACACTATATTTGTGTTGGTAGAAAATTAACATATATCTTGTAACATTAACAAGGTATATGCAGAATTTACTCTTATCTTATAGACCTAACTATCAACATAAAAAAATAAAAAGATTATTTCTGAAAAACTCTTGATTCAAAAGCTAATATAAACATTAGTATGCTTATTAAGAAAAAAAGCGTAGACAACAAAACATACTAGTTGTTATTTATTCCACAAGTTCAAGTATTTGTGGATAAAGTCGTTTGATACTCATATTAGGAAGAGATAATAAATATTTTGTGAAATTATTTAGGTGTCACCGTTTGATTCGGACATCACAATTATATCCTTGTATAAAAAAAAAGGTATAATATAATAATAGTACCAAGTGTTAATGTGGGTTTGGTAATACTCACTACCAACTTTGATTGAATATTTTGGTTGTCTATAGTAAGTTTGGTGTGATAAATGAACATAAAAAAAAAAAACAAGCTTCAATAAATCCAATTAATAGAACTTTCAATATCTTGATGTGATATAGTTATCTAATATTTCAATCTAAATATCTAACTATTTAATATTTTCTTTGTTTCAATTTATGTGGTATCTTTTGGATTTTCATATTCAAACAAGTCATTTTTTAACTCAGTATTTTTTCATATATCTTTTAAATATCTTGAATTATCAATTATTGTGATTTATATTACTTTTTATGTAATTTTCAAATATATAAATTTTATTTCAAAAAATATAAAAATTTCATGTCAGAATTTACAATTGAAAATATATGTCTAACTTTTAAAATTTAAATTATGCCACGTAAATTGAGGCAGAAGAAATACTATATGCAATTTGGCATTATCATAGTTTTAGTATATTCCTAGGGACACTTGGGAAAAAGAAAATGATAAAGTTGTCTCAATCTAATCCTTGAAATAATCTCAGTATTTCTTGTTAATCTTCAATTAGTATTGAGAATCTTATTAGTTGAAACGTATTTGCAAGTTGACTTATTTGTAGAATATTTCCCCCCTCTTTACCAAGTAAAAGACAAGCTAATATTAATGAATCGTAAAATTTAGACAAAAATAGTTAAACTTCAATTATATGTATATTCGTGTATGAAGTTAGGTGTTCTTTCAATTTCATCGTCACATGTCTAATTTTGAAATTGATAGACTTATTGAATATTACAAACTACTAATATGATGTAAATGATGGTCCCAAAATTAGATATTTATGCATTTAGAATGAACATTTTCTGTTCTAACAGACTTATCTGTGTGCAACATAAATCTAAATCAATTGTCGTCACGATAAATATATAAAAAAAGATTAATACCCAAGATCTTCTTAGCCAATTTTCTTCATATTTTTTTTTCTAATGCCTCTTAAAATAATTCTTAGTTCTAAATAAATTTACAATGATTATTTACATTTTACTTGCTAGAGTTCACATATTTATTTTTTCTTCCAAAAAATTTATCTTTATTTTTATTTTGTGAAAAAATGATGTCAACAAAGCATTAACAAGGTGGGCAAATTAAAGTTAACATGAATTAAAGCTAAAATATAAAGCACTAAGACACTTAATTCCAAAATTGCCTTTTAAATATTCTTCTTTTTTGAGTCTTAGCCTAGGGGAATTTGTTCTTTCCTTTTTACATAATTATTTAAATTCCAAGTAAGCTTTCTTTTTATTGTGTTTATACCTTCTTCTTTTTTTTGGGTAAAAATATCTTTGATTTAGTTATATTTAAATTTAGACACGCACATCACATGTTTAAATTCCAATGTTTGGTTAAAAATCAAATATTTGAATTAAGGGGGTAAAAGGGAATTATTATTCATCAAATTTTAAATCGTGCATTCGTAATTTTATAAGAAAATCTTGGAAAATAATTTTAAATTGTGCACTTGCAATGTCTAATCTATTTTTTTTGTGTTAATACATCTTTTAGTTATGCAGTTTTTAGGATTTGATGCGATTTTTTGGATGTCTTACTTTAATTTCTCTTACTAGAATTTAAAATTTTGTATAAGGATGTATTTTATATTACTAGCGTATAATCACGTTAGAGTTTATTAATAATTGAACACTTAAAAATAAATATTATACTAAGTCTCATTTCTCACGACTTAATCTAATTAAATTAATTATTGCATTACGTAAGAGCAATAATATACTAATTCTTACTGCTAAAAGTTGTGATGAAGTGGTATAATTTCTCCTTTATTAAATTCGAGATTTTGGATTTAATCCTGAATATGAAATCTTCTTTGATAGGAAGCGATTTACCCTTAAAGTGAAGTTTTTCAGTACTAATTCAAATTAGTTGAGTCCTCAAATACATACCGAATACTAAATTACTAAATTGAGAGTTAAAACTCTTAAAATTTTGAAATGAAGTCAAACAATGAACTAAACAATAATTAATATTGTTTAATAAATGTTTAGTTTGAGTTGGACTTATTATAATTTTATAACTAAGCATCATTTCTGAATTGATCATGCCTGCTTTTATATTAAAAAAAAAAGAAAAGAAATCAACTCATTTATGTTGGCTAAAGTAAGCTTAATAGATATTTTAAATATGATATGATATCGTTCTCAAATTAAGTTCCACATCATCCATTATCAAGATTTTATGGGTATATCTATTATTAATTGTGTTTCACTCGTATTATCCGAAGATAATGCTTCGCTTTACGTATATACATTTTAAATTACGTATAAAGATAGTAAATTAGTTGTTTTCATACTTGTCTAATCAATCAATTTATTAACTCTAATATTAGTTGTTTGATCATGTCCGCTAAACACATGTTCTTAACCTTGTGTGATGTTATTCATAGTGGCCGAATTTTGAATTCGCCTCTAAATAACATAAACAAAAACAAAAAAACAAAAAAGAAAAAGAAATTATATATTCATGTGTATCATGTACTATAACATAGTGTGTGGGGTAATATATTTATGAAAAAATAACATAATGGGTCCAAATAACACAACTTTATATGTTACAAAATAATATTCCAAATTAGATTCATCCAATTTAGAGTTTTGTAACTTTGTCACCACAATCACTTGACAAGATCTTATCTTATTGAGTTAAACCAAGAAAAATAAATAGGTAAATCAATAATTGTCACCATATCCAACAATATACTGCATGGAAGGAATCGTTATATGTAGTGACGGATCCAATTTTTTTATTAAATAGATTTTAAATATAAAGAAATATATATACACAGAAAAAATAAATAAAATTTAATATCTATTATATATAATTTAAAAAAATTAACTTCATATATATAATTTTCTAACAATGGTACTGTATAGCTATGCCTTTGACCATATTAGAAAATTATACTATTGTGGGAAGCGTATATTATTATAATTTATAATAGCTAAAACAACAAAAGCAAACATCAAATTCTTTAAAGGCTTCGTTTATCATAGCATAACATTATTTAAAACGATCATGAAAGAAATATGTGGTGAAATTAAAAAAAGTTCCGAATTGATTAAATTTTAAAATAGAGTCATCTTCTTAATCATAAAGAACGTTTTATTTCTAAAGTAAAACTTCTTGACAGAAATTCAAATTAATTTATCGAGCTTCAAAATAAATAACGAACCTCGAAAATTTCCTTTACTAAAAAAAAATTTTGATTTGGTCAAATGCAAGTTCTTCAAATAGAGACAAACCTGTAGTTGATCAACTAACATTTTCGGGATGTTATTTTGCCACCTTTGAATTCATGATGATTACGATTGTTAGCTTTTTCTCAAAATCTGCCTGACGAATTTGACTAAATTTTTTTTGGAATTTCAAAAAAAA